AAAAAAAAAAAAAAAAAGGAAAGACACTTGAAATACCTTGAAGATATTTTGCAAAATATTCCTCCGAATTTCGATGCAATGCGAGACGAATTTCCAGGTTTAATTTAGCGGACAAAGAAGGAGTGGCGGACAGAAAAGTACCGGAGCAACCTCTAGCGTTTTACTCGAAGGATGGAACAATCACCAGATACAATCTAAGAAAGGTACATGTGCACATACACGAGCGTACAACGTCTTGAACGATTTTCTGTACGAGTTAATGTATTTACGATTTTAGTTTGGCGAGCTACCCTTCCACTTGGTCAGATCACGACGTTTCAACGATTTGTTCGAGAACGTTTTGTTCAACTACGAGTGGCTCCATGCCAAGCTAAGCTCTTGCCCGCTCCAAGCGGTGCTTTCCGATTTCGAGGATGCGTGTAGTTTCATCGATAACCAGAACATCGTTAGGTGATTTAACACGTTATCTGAGATTCACGATAATGTTATTATTAGCAGCGTTTCAACATCTCCTGTGATTTTTTTTTTACAAGTTGAATTGCCCGACATACTTAATCCTTCTATCGTTTTTAAAAGATTTTGCACAATTTTAAGACACTTACTGAAGTGCGTTTAAGTCAACTGTTTGAAAGATTTTTCAGGAAAAGTAAAAATTCGTTTCGATTCGGAATGAAAATTCTATTTCAAAAGATACCATTATGATATACCTAGTTTTTAAATATTATTTGTTTTTAGTATACAGCACGTTTTCACGAATCTTCTAAAAGTATTTCAAAAGAGAATCGCATTTTAATTAAACAAAATGAACAAAAGCAAATGAAAAATCAAACCAGGGACGACTTGAAAGAAAATGAAACAGATCAAAGAACAATTGAACAAATAATTGGCATAAGTAAAAATTAAAGTGGAAAAGAAGTGAAAAATATGACAACTGGATATCCATCGACTTAAAAGAACCATCATTTGTCGTTTCAGAGAACTCATGCTAGTTGCAGACGCGCTCAGATTAGGCGGTGCGATTTTAGGATCGCATCCGGATATGCTCGCGCCCCAATTAATAGGCCGATTATTGCCAGAAATCGGTGGCAATGTGAACGTGAAAATGCTGCTTCGCGCGTGCGATAACGACGGTGCTAAGGATTGTGCTCTGCTTCCGGTTTATCATTGCTTACACACCCCTGGAGGACCGTTGAAAGTATTTGGACAAATTTAACCTTCATTACATAATGACCAAGCAATTGATTTATCTTAACGTTGTAAATACGATCGAATCTCGGAAAGTTGAACTAGAGTAGAATTGAAGAACAGAAAGGCTCTCCGAATTATAGAAGTTTCGTCTGATCGAATTTTCGATTGAACGAAGTTCGATGTACACGTAGAGACTCCGTACAACGATTAAATATTTATACGTAGTCGAAATATTTTTAATTTGCTCAGGAACTTGGAAAAAGACAAATTTCCAAGATTTAATAATAATGCGAAATTAATCGGGAAGAGTCGTAAATGAACTGTTACGTTAATGGTCCAACGTTGGTCCTTAATGGGCTAACAAAAAACAAAAAACGTTCTCCTAATATCGCGAACCTTTCAGTATTCGCTGGAGGGCCATCAATTCGCCGTGTTTGGCTTTTGTCTAACGTCGGATTATCGGTACGTGGTCTCGATATCCAATCGATTCATCACGTGGGATTTGAGCACCAGTGACATGACGAGGGATGTAAATCCCGGCGTTGAGGGAATCATGCAACATTTGGTCCTCAGTCCTGACAATAGATACGCAGCTGCGTTTACTACTAATAATCAGGTAAAAATTTAATTTCTCTACGATTAAAAAAAAAAAAAAAAAGAAAAAAAAATAAACAAATAAAATGTTCAAAGTTAATGACGTAGAATGTTAAAACTAACTTGCATTCCTGACGTCAAGTACAAAAAATACAAAAATCTTAAAGCAAATCTTAAATCTGGTCTTCAATGTTTCATAGTCGACTATGAACCTCCAATTATTTATTTACGTATTTTACGGAAATTTTATGCATTTAAAATTCTACTTTCCGACGCGGTAAAATTTTGTGGTACAAAACCGATGAACTCCAAACTATATACATTTTATGATATAAAGTTTGTCTTAATAAGTTTTGTAATATAAAAACTTATGGATTTCGAATTATATTTCAACTTTGATTAGATGTATTTTATAGTACAAACTTCTTTTCATAAATTTTGCTAATACAGTGAGAACTTAGAATATAAATTTTATAATGCAACGCTACCTCTTCTTTTTTCATACAAAAGTACCAAGTTCAATAATATGCTTTTATTTCCTTTAACGATTAATTTGTTTCTGAAGAATTTAATTACTAACTCTGAAGAAAATTAACAACCGTCCTTAAATTTTTGAACGAGGAACTTTCTAATAATGATTGATCAATCACAATTTCGCTGTGTATAATAACATTTAATAATGTGAAATTTGAACTTCGATAGATTGAATTCTCTCTTGTGTTGTATCATAAAAATCGATTCCTGTTGCCAGAAGTATCGATGGTAGAATGGTAACTATAACATGAAATAAACTAAACAAAAAAAAAAATTTCGAGTAATGTTCTTTGTAACAGAGTGTCGTGTTAAATACCCTGACGAGCGAGTTCGTTGTAATCGATAATCCATTTCCAAATGAAGACCCAGTATGCGGAGTGCATTTGATGAATCAATTCTTCTTCGTCTATGGTAAATTAGGCTGGTGTAGATTCGATTTACGAGGGAATTTACTAGATACGCATACGAACCCGGAGGATTCCAACAAGTGGCCAATTTTATGTGAGTGCAATGACAACGTGCCATTTAGCAGAGAATATACAGATTCGCAAGTTCACTAGAAAAATAAAAAAATTAATGAAATAGTGAAAGAACGTATGCTTTCTCTAAACAGGCGTGGAGCACACAAATTTGGACGATTATAGAATAGTATTTTGGTCTGGAAATATGGAAGACACCAGCATGCTTTTGCATACTCATAGGAAAAAAGGATCACTGGAACCTTTGCTGTTTCACAGGTAAATTATCAGTGATAGACTTTGTGGATTTTTATGCATTGGACTGAGCTCCTATTATGCGAACTTGTGAATTTCGTGATTCAAATAGTTACCAAACTTATTGTCCCACCGTGTGAATCCAGTTTATACGAATATCAGCTCCTATTACACGAACAAAGAAACCATAGAATGAAGAAATACTAGACTCCTATTATTCGAATCGCCTTATCCCCCGAACGGTTCGGATAAACGGAGTCCCACACTATTAATATTTATTCGATTGCTCAGAAATTGCGACAATTGGACAATAGCAAGTATGTATATATCGAAAGATATCAAATAAAAACAGAAATTGAAAACAGTCTCGCTATTTAAAGTCTGATAAATATACTTTATATAAATAAATATAAATATATAAATATATTTTATTACATAAATATACTTTACCAGACTTATATTATATATATATATTATATATTTTAAAGTTTTTTTTTATATTAGTAAAGTTTAGTATACAGTTTTTTTTTATATTAGTGTATTTTTTATATTAATAAAAATCTAGCAAATATATTTTATCAGACTTTTATTAATATAAAAAAATACACTAATATAAAAGAAAAACTACATACTAAACTTTACTAATATAAAAAAAACTATAAAATATATAAGTCTGGTAAAGTATATTTATGTAATAAAATATATTTATATATTTATTTTATTTAAATAAAAAAAGCCTGATAAAGTATATTTACACGTTACTTAAAAGAAAAAAAAAAAAAAAAAAAACTATAATTTATATAACATAAAAAGATACACGCTCGGGCTCCGTCTCCAATTTTAATTCTTTTCCAATCGATCTTAATATGTCCTTCTATAATGTCAATCACTGTAGTGTAATGGTAATGACCAACAACAAACAAGTTCTGTACGCCTGTACAACTAAGGAAGATTATCGGGTCACGAAATATGTCAGCGATGAAACATCCTGCCAATGGGAAAAAGCTTTCGACATGCCCAGAGCTTTCAACGACGATGTGGAATATTTGTTGCAACTGAAGCTGGACAGGGAAGAGGAGATGCTCCTAGCTACGTGTGCCAATGGTTTCATCGTGTGGTTCTTGGAGAGCAAGAGCGACGCGTACGTCTTAATGTTGCCCAACGGAGTTAGAAACATCAGCACGAAAATGATGTGCTCGAATTCGATTATGATCAGCGGCAGTAAGAATTACGCCGTTGCTGGCGTAAGGTACGTATTAGAATTGAATGATCGTGTTAACGCCACGTCAGTATAATGAAACTACAGACTTTATGCTTTAAAATGAGACGAAGTAAATTATACACGATTTGTTTCTACGAATTTATATGTTTAGTTATAGCATCTTACTGTATATTTCATTAATTCTCGACAAGAGTGACCCATTACTGACTAAAAGTTACATCCTCGAAATTTAACTGGTAGCGTTGGTAGAGAAGAAAGAGAAAATGAAACGAAAGCTATTCTCATTTCCAAAGGAAAAATCTATACGTCTGGAATCTTGAAACAAGCGAGTTGGTGAAAATCCTGGATGCCCACTTTGCAAGGATTATTCAACTAGAAGCATTGACCATTGGGAATTGGAACAGTGTTGTGACATCGAGTATCGACAGAAGCGTGAAAGTGTGGAATATTAACAATATCTTCGAACAGGTTCATGTAATCGACAGGCACGAGTTGCAGATCGATATGATAAGGTATTAGATTCTATCCTAATATCTGATCCTAACATGAATCGAGTTTCTTTTTACTCATGGTCTTTTTTCTTTTTTTAATTACGTTGAAAGCTTGGCAGAAGAATGTAACTTGGCAGCAACAGTGACAAGAGACTGTGTGGGAATTTGGGACTTGCAAACGGGAAGACTGATCTCAAAATTGGCGGATAGTCCTCTGGGAGCAATTGTCACTCACGCTTGCATGACTCACGATGGAAAGTTAGTAGCTATTGATATCAATTTGTTCGGAAATTTTGTAGCTTCTTTTTGGTAAGATTTGTTCTTAAATGCTGTGATGATTGAAAGTACTATATTTGTAATATTAACAGTGTTATTCTTCTCACTTTTTTTTTTATCACATCTCATTAGATATCTTTCTTTCTTTTCTTGCAATACTTCGTTTCCAGAATATTTAAAAATTTAATATTTGTCGAAATATAATGTCTATTATTAAATTAAATTAAATTAAAATTTATTCATGATTAAAGAATAATTCTTATTGATATAAATATTAATTTTTACTATTTAATTAAATTAAAATCGTTTTTCAAATAAGAACAAAACAGCAGAGTTAAATAATAATTCAGATAAATGTTGCTTCTAAAATTGACTAAAAACAATATTATAAAGGAATAACAAGGAACTAACAATAAATCAGATATTCCGATAAAAAGATCTGGAATATCATACTCATCAGCTTCATTAATAAAACAGTTCGATTATTCGTATACTTGTTAAAAAAAAAATTTTTTATGGCACAAATCTACTTAAAATGATTTACTGTTGAAAAGAATGGAAAGTTGAGATGAAAGAAAAAAACAGTACAGATTAATCAACTAAGGATCAATTATAATTTATATTATAAACATTTTTTAAAATTATTACCATATAAAAATAATTAAAAATTATTATTACATAAATTCATCCAATGTCTTTAAATTTTATAAAGTTTTGGAATTTGGGTGAAAGACATAATGATAAAAGAATAGGGAACAGGAAATCCTTTGAGCATTAAAATTTCGTTTCATAATTCCAATATTAAAAAATAAAATTCGATAATGTAAATTGACTGGAAAAAGATTGCTAATAAAGGTTGCATTAACACACAGTTGGTCCTCAATAGATCAATAATTCTGTATAAAGACATTGTTAATTTCAGATCTGTTGATGCTGATTAAAGAGAAAAGAAAAGTTAATTAATTAAAATATTATTTAAATTGTATTTACCTGTAGTGCGAATTTCCCAAGCAACAATATATTATGCATACAGAATGATATGGTATGATTTTATTAAAGGAAATTAGAAAAAAATGTTAGAAAAAAAAATGAATAAGACAAAATATATACATATTCATGTTTTCTGCACAAGTACTATGAACATTTATAACCACATTATCTTTTTTCGAATGAAAATCTTTCCTTCTTATATACATCGAATCCTCTCATTCTACGTAAAAAAATATTAAAATAATATGATCAAATATTAATGAATTAAAAAAATATTTTAATTTTAATTATGTAGAATTTGTCGTAAAACAAGGAAAACACGTAAATTATTAAAATGATCCTATATACACGTGTTACAATTAATTCGTTAAACATATGTTGCTGTGTTTCAGGTATATCGTTTCAACAGAATCAGGTAACGTACTGATATGGAACAGAATTACAGAGCAAGTATTGTTCAAAGAAGAGCAACAGCATGTGAGGCAACTAATGTTGGTCGAAAATTCATCTAAATTCATAGCTGTTTCAAGGCCAAAAAATCCTGCAGGAGTAGAAAACATGAAAACTAGTGCTACTCTTTTTATGAGAACTATTCCTGGTACATTGATAATTAATAGAAGGTTTAGAGATTCTTAATGATACTAACAATCAATCGTTATTAATAGATGGCAAGAGAATGTTTACATTGGAGTATTTAGTCAGAAGTCACACAGGTACACCATTTCGAAATGTTGTAATGACTTCTGACAATTCTTTTTTGATTGCTCCAGCATCTGATAAGGGCAACAGAGACTGTGTCATCATCTACAATGCAAATACTGGAGCACTAATAAGTAAAATACCAATAAAATTACCAGGGTTTAAAGTAAGAATTTATAAAAAGAAGAAAATCGTATTTCATAAAAAAAGGAATTTTGTATAATTTATATTTTTTCAATAGGATATTTTATGTATTACTCCAATGTCAAATAAACCACATTGGATAGGAATCATTGGATCTGATAAAGGCACCATTTTAGATATAAATAAAAAGAAGTTTATCCGTACAATCCCCAAGTGGAGTGGAAATATCAGCAAAGATGGGAAATATACTTTATATGCACCCAGCAGGTAATTTTCATTTGAAGGTATTTCAACAAAAAGTTTCAACAAATTCAATGTTTCAGAGGTGGTTTGGAACTTTTAGAATTGAAGAAAGGTACTACTGTGAAGACCTACATTCCAAAAGTTGCAGAGGGTGTTTTCACAGTAATATCCATGTTCAACCGCACAGATGAATATGTTCTTTATTACCATAGTGGAAGAAAAACCATACGTGTATTCAGGTAAATAGATAAAACGTTAAAATAATAATAATTTTTGTCATATACTTGATTTATAGATCATTGGATTGTGAGATCATAGCAAACTACAGGGTTCAAGCAGAACTGAGCGCTATTGATAGCACTTATGATGGTAAAAGTATAGTTCTAGGAACGGTAGATGGTTGTGTGTCTGTTTTAGCTATAATAGACCCAAAAAAGGAAGAAATGAAAAATTATGTTGCAGACTTACCATCACGTGACGAAAATGTGAGTTAACAATTACACACACAAGTATTATCACACTAACAATCAAACAAACAAAACATGTTTTCAATGAGACCGTAGAAACTGCACATGTAGGAGAATAATTTCTGTCTCCCATTAGTTTTATCTTGTACTATTTTGTTATTAATTCTTTCTTTTTAGCAAAATTATTCGTTAAAGAACACGTTTATACAATCACTGGTTTGTCAACTTTAGAAATAGGTTAGGATAAACACTTGTCGCATCGATCTCTTTAAGATTGTTTAAGAATTATTATTGGACTTTATAAATCCGTAGGGTTGAATAAATAACTTTGACAGAATTTGTAACACTTTTCTACAGGTATTTACAATTGGTTTTATCAAAATTCCGCTTATTACAATGTCCCGCTCAAAAACGAAATTAGTCGTAATTTCTATGTATAGGTCCGTATACGATTTCATAAAATTCAAATTTCCATGCGATTCCCGATAAGATTGAAATTAAAATTACCTTGTTTTATTTGATTAGAGAAAAGAGAAAATTATATATAGAACACGCGGATAGTATAACAAACTCAAAACGTTCACTCAAAACACTCAACCGATATTTTTTCTTTCTTTCTCACTCTTTTCTCTCTCTTTCTCTCTCGCTTTAGGGAAGAAAGAGAGCATTAAATTTAGTTACTTTTTTAATTCCAACCATATTTTAAAAAGAATATTATCGTAATTTTTTTATTCGACTGGATATGAATTTATTTAATAAAAATGAAAAGAGAGATATTTTATCTTTTTTTTGTGCAATTCTGATACTGCAATAAAAGAGCATATAGAAGTAAAATTAAATGTATAGGAAAATAATGCAACAGTTGGTACTATAACAGGTAATAATATATAATAATAATCTTTTTAAATTATTAAAATATATCTTGCCGTTACATTTCTTTGAAACGTTTGAAAAAATTTGTTTCTTTGATAAATGCTAATGTGTAATTTCATATCATTTCAGTGGAAAAAGAAAGCTGAGAAGCAACGAGTAACTATCAAATTCAAAGCCGCAGCTCGAATAGCTCGTGTAACACATGACTTGAACGCAATTATACGAAATACAAATATTACGGAAACGATTGAGGAATTAGACGAAAATATAGAATGAAGAACGTAGAATAGATTATTTTTATAGAAAATTTTTTTTTAGTACAAAAAAGTGTGTAACGTAAGATGATAGTCTCTCCTCGGTAGAAATATCGATCAAGAAATAAATGTTAAACATTGATGATAGAATTTATATTACATTTATTGTGTCTTTTCATGTAATTAATTTTTATAATCTTTCTTTCCTTCTTTTCTTTTTTTGTCTTATATTTTCTTCGCGTTCAAAACGTGAAGGGCACGAGGCGAATTCTGTATTTTGTCTCATTGCAAATGAAATTACCCGCAAATTAGAGGGGTAGATTGCCCTTGCACAAACCAAGCTTGATGTTTTCTTTTAAATAACAATTTTATAGCTTGCTCTATGCAAGGGAATGTCATTTTTCATTTTACAATGTATCGTATCGCGACTGAAGTCGTCTCGTGCCGACGCAGGCGCAATGAAGTGCAACATTTTACGTTTGTCTCCTCGTTTGTTTACAAATTCCAAGAGATCGATAGTGTTATAATGAGCGATTTCAAAAAAATGGTATTACAATCAGCGCGAGTAAACATAAAATTTTAATCTGTATCGAAGTCAGATGGTTTGTGTATGAAAATTTTCGTTGATTTCGTTTGCTCTTTCTTTTCATTGGTGGTAGTAGTTAAAAATATATTAAACCGTTTCATACGGACTTAAATTATATGGTGACCACCGATTTGCATTAGTTAAAAAAGTTGATATTCGTATGGCAATCGAATCATGCTACCATCATCAATAATCTGTAAACAACTATTAAACATATTTTGTAACAATGTTAAACTAAACTAAAACACACCTGCATCGGAGCACATGTATGAACAATAGTTCCAGCAAAATCTAAAGTTGTATGGCAGCTTGTTATATAAAATAAACAGCATTCTTCATCAAAGATTATGCTCTTTGCTAAAAAATCAAAAGAGGTAAAAAAGAAAAGATTTACAAAATGCTGCTCATACGATATATTATCAATGGGCCTGATATTCCTTTAAAATTTCGATAATCGATTTGCACTTGATTCCCGTAAAGTGCGTTTTCATTCTGAATAAATCTGAACTTAATTTGTAATGCTGGTTTTTCTTGATAGGCTTATGTAGTAGGTTTGCAGTGGCGCTTTTTTTTTACGTCTTAGTGTCTTGTTATCATCATTTCCTACTTTTCCTCAAAGACTGGAACTTCTGTGAAAGCATGGTAGCTTTATTTGTGGTATAGAGCCTTTTTGAAATTTTATTGCATCGCACCTCCTTTTTGCTTCTGTTGTTGCTGCTGCTGCTGTTGTTGCTGTTGTTGTTGTTCCCGCTGTTGTGCCTGTTGCGATGCTTCTGTATCTTTAATGTGTTTTTCAACCTGTTGGATTAATGAAACACATGGATTACAATGCATTACGATATTCCAGTTCTTCAAATTACTCACCACTTTCTTTACATGTTTGTATGCTCCAGATTCCGTGTTTCCATGAACATTGTCAACTTTGTACGGCGGTCTAATTGTGACATTGTCAAATACAACAATATTTGCTCCACTCCACGTAATTTCTGGGATAGTCTTTGATATAGTACTGAAGAGTTTTTGTCCTTCTGGAGATACTCCGGCCTGCAGAGCCATTACCAGTTTTTTTTTCTCTTCTATTTGATTACGTACTCTTCTGTTCAGCTTTTGTAAATTAAGGCTTTGTGGTGGATCACTTGTCGTAGGGCTAACTTCCCGTTTTACTTGGACCTCTGATACCAAGGATAAATTTACTATGTGTACATCGTTTAAAGTTGGTGTTCCGCTGGATGACGGACATTCTGATAGATATCAGTTAAGGAATTATTGTTATCATGAAATATGAAAATTAAATGCAGTTTAATTCATAATACTTTAGTCATAGAGAACCTGACTATAAGATAAATTCTCAGGTTATAAGCATAGTTTTCTAATTTTTTTTCCGCGCTGGAAATGTTTGTTTCTGAATTCTTAGAAAAAATGAGAGTGAAAGTTTCCGTGCGATGCACGAAAACACATAGAAGAACGAATAAACAGAGCAATAAAAAGCAACGAAAAATCCAGCATGGTTGATTGAATGACGAAACTAACCTGACTTTGTGTAACTGGTTAGGTGATGATCAAATAATTGACAAGCGATATTACACGTTTCCCGTGTGAAATCGCGAAACGTAGCTCAGTGACCATTCATTAAAATTCACAATATCTATCATAGATAGCTTTAATGTTATTTACACTGCGGCAATGTTAAACCAGCGACGGATGAGCGCTGCATACATGTAATTTTCGGGAAGAACGATATTTTGAGGGAATTTATAAGAAAAGGATACTTAGGATTAGCATTTTAGTTTGTGGATCGAATGCTAGCACCTCGCCTTCGATCTCCTCCTTGTAACAGGTTTTACAGGCCACGGTACTCCCGATGCTGAAACAATCGTTGGCGCCGGCCATTTTTCACTATGAACTTAGAACCGCGGACTCCCTATCGCCATCTGTTCTGATTTCAAATGTCCCACGAAATTTGTATCGTTTGCGCCATTTCTGTTATGGTTATCAACACGAATTTTTTCAAAGAGAGATTAATGTTATTTGACAACAAAAGAAGACGAGTCGTTAATCCATTACCACGTGCAAATTTATTGCAGTGAACAAAAATGAGGTAAGAAGTTCTAGAACAGTTCTGTGGTTTGTTCTTTTAAGAACGCACGGTTAAAATTGGAATCGAGCTGTTGTATTATAAACTTTCTTTGTGAATATTTTTCTACGAATGTTTCTCTGAAATCGAAGTTTAAAAGGAATATTATACAAACAACGTGAAAAAGACAAAACAGAGAGAAATTATTTATTTTTGAAAATTACATATTCTTGAAATTGCAGTTTAATAGCATAGCGATATCGTAGTGTGATCTGCATTTTCGATTTAAGACTATTCCACAGACACAGACGAGGTATATGAAATATGAATAGACCTCGCATACAATTTGCAATTCGCATATTTTTTCGGCCCACGATTGAGGGGTTTCAGGACCTCCTTACCATTTTCGTGTCACATCCTGTCGTACCGACTCAGGCAAGTTTTGCACTGCAGCACTACTAGTGATGAAAAATAAAATTAAAAAAATATGGCCACATCTGCTTCAAGATTTATTTATTGAATTGCACGTGGTGATACTTCATCAATGAAGGAATATAAATATTTAAAGGTATTAGAAAAAAATGGATTGAAATATATTTTTTAACAACATAATTAGATATGATGTTTTTTACTTATTTTAGTGTGTAATTTCAGAGTTTGAGTGAATCATACAAACTCGATTTTATAAAAGTTTGGAAGTATCAAAGAAATGTTTCCACAAATATTGTTTGGTATATATTTGGTTCCACAAACAAAGTTGTATTGTGTGGTGTAAATTATTTTTTGCAGATCGTTCGTTCATTTTTGAAATTTTGAAGTCATTTGTTAAGAAATCCGAATTCAATTACTTGCATACGAAGTCATTTGTTCTTATAATTCGTTAAAAATTAATGAATTATTGTTTAAAATAAAATGGCGAAAACAAATCGTACAGATAATTTTAAGGGCTCAATGTAAAAGGAAGATTTCAATTTTCAAGATTATGATTCTGATCAAAAATTGTTCAATAATGGAAAAACTTCTCTTCGGTGAGAATGTTTGAATTTTTACAATTTTCGAGAAGAAAAGTATTTTTATTTTTACATTTGCTGCATGCTATAAAAATAAATATCTTTGAACGAAATAAACTCTGGATTGTTAAAATCCACTCTTTAAAATAAAATCAAGTTAATTGTTCTACAAATTTTTTTTCACGAAATTATAACAGTTTAAAGTATTAACAATTTTTTATCTAGTATATGAATATTTTCGTTCTTTTGAAGAATGTCTCATGAATTTTGTATATTTGATTTAGACCAAAATTTTTTTATTTTTTATTCCAAATAATCATTTCGCACAAAATGCGCGATTACAGTGCTTTAACGGTGAACTAGGCAATACACTTCCTATGATTCTTGAACGTAATCGATATTTCTCGATTTTTAAGCGGGAGAGCACCTTTAATGGCGGAAGGAAAAACGCCTCATCTGTAAAGAAGAGAGAGTCATCTAGAAAAAAGTGTTATCCAGAAGTTCTCAGGTGAAAATTTAAATCAATATCTATTAGATTTGTGTTTGTGTTGTGAATTTTTGAGTCAAAACATATATTTTCAATTAAAATTTGAATTAAAATTTACGGCTTCAATTCATCGAGATTTGGTAAGGAATTAAAGTAACCAAATAATTTTTACACATAATTTTCAACAATTAAAGAAATAATGGCATATAAACATTTAAATAGAACATATATGCTAAAAGTTATTTATGATTTTATATCAAAATTTAATTTCAATTCTAACCAGTAGAAATATTGTAACCTTGTAATTGATTAACTCATTACACACACACATACACATTTTATTATATGTTTTTACACATACTTCTATTATTTGTTGATACTTTAACTTCATACTGCATATTAACAATTTTATTAAGAATGTTTGTATTTAATAAATAAAATAATAATTCTACTGCGTAATATAATAAAATTTCCCATTTCTCAGTTTAACGTATTGACAATTTTTCATCTAATGTATGAATATTTTTGTTCTTTTTTAAGAATTTCTCATGAATTTTGTATATTTGATTTAGGCCAGAGTTCTTTATTTTTTATTCCCAATTAATATTTCGTGATTGCAGCGCCGTAGCGGTGAAATACGCAATACACATCCTCCGATTCTCGAATATATCGATATTTCTCACGATTGATCTTTAAGCGGGAGAGCATCTTTAATGGCGGAAGGAAGCACGGTTTGTGTGTAAAGAACAAGTGATATCCAGAAGAATTATGCAGAAAGGAGTATCACCCAAAAGTTCTCAGGTAAAAATATAAATCAATAGTTGTTAGATTTGTGTTTGTATTGTGAATTTTTAAGTTAAAACGTGCATTTTTGTTTCAAATCAGGGTAAGATTTAACTTAATAATTGTTACATATAATTTTCAACATTTAGAGAAATAATGCTATATAAACATTTAAACAGCATATATCACGCTAAATGTGATTTATAATTTTATACCAAAATTTACTTTTAGTCTAATAATACAAATATTGTAATTTTGTAATATAACTATATACATATATATATATATATATATATATATATATAATATGCTTTTACTTCTATTATGTAACATTTTCTATTTATTTTTTGATTCTTTAACTTTATACTGCGTAATTCTTAACAATTCTAATAATTATATTAACAATAACTTGTTAAGAATGTACGCATTTAATAGTTAAAATAATAATTTTTACTGCGTAATGTAATGAAATTGTTCTCAAATAAAGTAAAACATAAAAGGCCTTGAAGCTTGAAATTCGAAGTAAAAAATAACAACACGAACACAACGTTTATGTTTGCTTACTTATCGTGCCTGTTTGGACAGGATTACCCCATCCCCTAATACTTTTTCAATTGTAGGATGAGACGTCGTAGAGAGGACGTCATTCGACTGTGGAATATCATGACGACAACACGTATTACGTTGCATTAGGTTCGTAACTTTTTTTGATCTATCGGTGGCGTCCTTTCGATGGCGTTGCTTCTTTAATACTCTTTTACTTTCATTTATCATTCATTTGTAGTATCATTTAATTAATATGTGTTTAATTAATTGAGTATTACGACAACGAAATCGTGTAATGCTTTGAAACTTTTTGCACCAATTTTTCTTCATTCGTCAATTTCAGTCTTACAGTTACCGATAGCTTGTCTTGTATGCCTTTTAAACAGAATTTAAAGTTGATTATTGTTTCACTGTTGAATATTTGTCTTCATTTGACATATTTATTCTAACTTTTGGTTTCTTTTTGTGCAGGTTGCCAAAGATAGCATAGAATACCAGACACCATAATTATTAATGAACAATCTGATAAGTTTTCACGGAAAATTGCTAATATTTTATTCATTCTAGATAACATTTGCCATATAATTTATATATATATTTAAGATTTAATTCACAGTATGTAATTTCGTAATTACATGGAATACAAAAATGAAAATGGAAAAGATTAAATCAATTAATATTTTATTTCGAATATGGAAATCGTAGTAGCTTAATGGTATATACTTTCAAATGGATATATATTCTTGTATTAGATTATTAAATTCAATGTCTTCGTACTTTACTATACTATTCTACAACATGCATATTTTTTCCAAACACTACATATTCAAGTTTCTTTGTAATAATTCTAGAAAAATAGCAATGTTTTCTAAATAAACTGTACTCCTTACTCTTCCTCTACTAATCAGCTTTATTTTCAGAAAATTTTTATGACCGCGCGCAATGCGGTTAGTAGAATCAGTGTTTGTTGTGTAATATTTTAATATTTATTTGTCTGAGCGAAATGGCTTTTATTAATTTATTTAAATTTAATTCGCGAAGTTAGAGCCAGTGAGTTCGCCGATTGTTACTTAAACGCGAGCGTTGATAGTCTTTTATTTTTCTTTCTTCATATTTTTTCATGTTCAATACTTGTTTTCGGTATTAGAGTCAGTGCTCAAGAGGATACGGCCTCTCCAGGAGATCAAGATCGTAAGTAGCTTTATATATTGTACTTCAATTTATTCAATTTTTCAAATTTAACAACAAAATATAATGTTTGACGTTACAGACGCTTCACATTGGCAACAATTTTGTTGTTTTTTGGGGGGGGAGGGGGGGAAATCCAACGATGGCTCTAAAGCCAAGAATGTAAGAATCTTTCATTATCTCCAGCTTAAGATTTTGCTTTGCTTTTAAAGATAAATTCTAATGTTTAATGTTTTGTTACAGATTTTCTACACTCTCTACTTCCCCTAATCTTCTAAGGATCTTATGATGCTTCGAAAGCTAAAAATGTAAATAGTTGTACTTGAATTCTATTCTCTATAGTTTCTGTTGAAGTCAAATGTAAAATTATAATTATAAAATAAAAACATTTCAAACTATTAGTCCCTATTTTTGTCATTATAAAAATTTAAATTTTCACAAATAATATTGTGTTTTTAGAAACAAAATGTTTTATATTTTTCAGGAAATTTCTCATGGCGTTCATTTCTGTCATGGGATTCTCAATGATATCTAGTTGAAGAGGATCTTCACATAACTTTTCCTGCTCCAGTACAGCATCGATAATAACATTTTTCACATCTATCCCGTGAGTCGCATGCATTTATGTTCCTCCGGTCATTCAATCATGTCGTAGGACGAAAGGTCTGAATCGGCACGGGTGACTGGTTGTATTCGTAGAATTTTTGATGAGCATAGTGACCGCGGGTATTTTTTATATCCGTGAGTAGTAACATTTCTTCAAGGTTTCCATGTATTAGAGTAGGATAGGGCTTCTTGCACATCGCGATTTTAACAAATAGTTTAAATATATATTTTTTATATAGTTTAAATATAATAATTATAATAATTATTTATAAAATCAGAATATCTTCAATATAAATGTTTGAAAAAATAAAATATCTATATGAATATCTATATAAATAGATAAATAGTATCAATTATCTTCATAAAAGAGAAGACGGATACCCTCCGACTTCGTTACTATGAAAGATGCAATTATTACTTATATCGATACTATATTTACAGATATCGATAATATATTTTATTATATTAATTAATAATTAATAATTGTTATAACAGTTTAATTTTCTCTTTTATGATAGTATTATTTGATTGAATTGATTAAGTTTTATAATTATGAATTTGAAATATAATAGATCAGATCTTTTTCCGTAAAAAGATGTATAAAATTTTATGTGCAAGAAGATGCTTCGCGATAGGCAGATTTTTGAATCAAAGCAACAAGTTTGAACACTACTTTATCATTTTCGAAAATGTGCTTTGATGAAGAAGTTGCCTGAGATTATTTTTATTAATATTTAATTTAGTGTCAATTGTTTGACTTTGATTGTTTGAATCAATTGTTAGAGTGTTCATAATGTCTTTTTTGACAAACTCAAGTCCTGTTCATTATCTTGATTCTCAATTTTAATAATTTCTGAAAGAGTAAAGTCATTACAGTTTGAAATAAAATAATACAATAGTCCGTTAGACTATTACATAAACTAATTATTTTTTTACTTCAGGATTTTCAGGTTTAACCCCTTCCGTGTTCATTGTCAGGATCTCACTCACGTGCCCAGGTGCTACTTGGGTGGGTGAAAGACATTGGGCACGATGACCATAGTTTGTAATTTTATAAAAAGTTTCTCAGCAACTGACAATGTGTTAGCGTATCGTGCACGACGTATTTTCCGCATGTGTGTGTGTGGTTAGGATGTGGAATTGCGTCGTTTTTATTGTTCCATTCATTATAAGTTGAAGTATTTAAAACATTTACGCACTAATTTAAAGAATTATAAATTTATTGTCATAATACGTAATAAATACACTATAATTATATTATTATTATAACTATATTATTACTTATAATAATGATGCTATGTCAGCTTGCACATGTAATTTCTATAAAAATTATGTGTATATCTTTTCTCAGTTATTAATATTTCATATATAGCTGTAAATATAAACGTGTTAATCACGTTTTACGCAATGTTCGCTAGCCATTGTCAGTTGATTTCAGGAAAATGGTACGTAAATTAGAGTATGAATGTTGTGTGCTAAACTCGGGTGTCGGAGGTGTCCTGGGACGTCCTCTCTAGTTTAGGCTGCGCCCGGGTAGTATGTGTGAGAACCGTGGAGTGAGTGTGTTGGTGTGTCTGTTCTTTTGTCATCTTTTAAATATAGGGGCCCTGGATAGGATAGGTAGCTTGCTTTCTGGTATGCCTGTGTTTAATTATAAGTAGGTAGGGCCGGGCAGGTTGGCACAGTCTCTAGTCGCGTGTCCCTTTTCGCGTGTCCAACCTGTTTCAGGAAATCTAATTTGAAAAATCGA